ACTGGGGCTCCAGACTGCTGTGAACGCCACCTCCTACTCCACTTCCAACTGAACTGAACCCCAATACTGGGCTCATTGTGGGAGAGCATAGACTGTTTGGCAGCAGGCGAAAATCGAGGGCACCTTTCTCTCAGAGGCGCTGGCAGCGAGCACTGAAGGACCCGCATAGGGCGGGGCTGACAGAAGCCAAAGCTGCAGGCTCCACCCTGAAACCCCGCCCCATCTGTAACTGGGAAATGAGACAACAAAATAGATCACAAACGAAAGAAATGGAGGACAAAAAGCGTCTGGATATAGAGTTCAAATCTACGCTTATAAGGTTTTTCAAGAATTTCCTAGAAAAGATGGATAAGGCCTATGAGGATATGAAAAGAGATCAACTAGAATTAATAAGGAGTCAACAAGAAATGATAAGGGATCAACAAGAAATAAAGAATACATTGTCTGAAATAAAAAATATTTTACAGAGTCCTAAAAACAGGAGGGATGATCTCAAGAATCAAGTCAAAGATTTGGAACATAAAGAGCCAGAAGACACTCCTCCACAGAAGCTAGAAGGCAAGAGAATCCAGAAAATTGAAGATAATGTAAGAAACCTCTGGGACAACTTCAAGCGAACCAACATCAGAATTATTGGGGTCCCAGAAGATGAGAGAGAGCAAGATATCGAAAACATACTGAAAGAAATAGTGACAGAAAACTTCCCCCACCGGGTAAAAGAATTAGACTTACAAGTCCAGGAAGCGTACAGAACTCCAAACAAAAGGAATCCAAAGAGGACCACACCGAGACACATCATTATTAAAATTCCAAGAGCAAAAGACAAAGAGAAAATATTAAAAGAAGCAAGAGCAAAGAAGGTAGTAACCTATAAAGGAGCACCTATACGATTGTCAGCTGACTTCTCAACAGAAACCATGCAGGCCAGAAGGGAATGGCAAGAAATATTCAAGGTGATGAATAGCAAGAACCTACAGCCAAAAATAATCTACCCAGCAAAGCTATCACTCAGAATCGAAGGCCAGATAAAGAGCTTCACTAATAAAAAAAAGCTAAAGGAGTTCATCACCGCCAAACCAGAATTATATGAATTGCTGAAGGGAGTTCTTTCAGAAGAGAAAGTAAACAAAGATAAAAATTATGAACAACAAATACGTAACTATCAACAAGTGAATCTAAAAACCAAGGAAATTTAAAAAATCTGATGAACAATATTAACTGTTGAATATAATAGAATCAGAGGTATGGAAGGGGAGTGAACTGATGATTCTTGGGGGAAAAGGGAGAGGGGGGAGTGGGAAGAGACTGAACATAAACTGTGCACCTATGGATGAGGACAATGGGGAGAGGGGAAAGGGCAGAGGGTGGGGTGGGAACCTGGTGGAGGAGAGCAATGGTGGGGGGGGGGGGGAAGGAACATTTGTAATAATATGAACATTAAAAACTTATTAAAAAAAAAAAAAAAAAAAAGGATCGACTTTAGGACACACATTTTTTTTTTTTTTTTTTTGCAAAATTTAGCAATCCCTTTCTACATTGTCCCAAATGCATTCCTCTGCCAAAGGCAACCAATGTTAACTGCGTTAGCTGGTGTTTTTGGTGTTTACTCCTTGCCTCTCAATAACATACTTTATTTGCTACTTGAGATTTCAGTCTTAATCATTACCCATTGACTTCCCCCGTGAAGAATATGTAACTTGCATGCACAGTTCTCCTCTCTCTCACACATACCTGCATACATATCTCATTCTCTAGTCTCTCAACAGTTAAGTTGGTATTTTTGGCTGCTCCATTTTTTAGTGTGTATTGTAGCCATGTAAATAATACATCAATAATACATGTCATGCACTGTGATTACTCTTTCATAAGTGTTTGTGGTACTATGAGATAAATCCTTTTACCTTTTATACTTAATTTTCTATATATTTGGCACTAATTCAGCCCCACATTCTCCCCAGCTGTCTGAATCTCCTCACAGTAGATTCAGATGCACCAGGTGGTCTCTCACCTTTGTCCTTAGGAATCTTTCTGGGAGCGCTATGGGCTGCTACCATCTGGATGGGTGCCCTCTGTGCTGGTGCACATTCGCCATTCTGGGACATTCTTTGTCACTATCTTTGGGATTGCTGTCACCGTTCCTTTTGGAGCCCTTTCTCCTAGTTCCCTTCATCTCTTTCAGGGTTTACCCTGTCATTTCAGTCAACAACATTGTCTAATAGTTTCCCTAGAAAGAGAACATAAAAAAATTTTTTGAGACCTGAATGTCTAAAAATGTCTTTAGCCTTGGCTAGTGTGGCTCAGTTGGATGGGCAAAAGGTTGCTAGTTTGATCCCTGGTCAAGGCATATGCCCAGACTATGGGCTCTATCTCTGTCAGGGTGTGCAGGAGGCAGCTGATTGCTGTTTCACTGTCACATCTTTCCCCTCCCCCCTCCTTTCTCTAAAAAATAAATTAATTAATTAAATATTTTTACAATATAAAATGTTGTTATTCCACCCTTACATTTAATTGATAGTTAAAATGGTGATGGGATGCAGACTGAAATAATTTTCCCTCAGAATTTTTAAGGTTTTTTGCTCCATGGGACCTGTTTTTTCCTCTGGAAATTTTGCTTTGTCCCCAGTGGTATGAAATTTATGTTTATGTCATCAACCTTTGTGCTAGACCCTTTCAAATTGGAAAAGTCACTCTTAATTCTGGATTTTTTTTTAAAAAAAAAATAGTTTCCTGTTGTCTGTTTTTATTATTCTCTTTTTTGTGGACAGCTTATTATTTGGAAGTTGAACCTTCTAGATAACTCTAATTTTCATACTTTTCTTCTATTTTCCATCTTGTCACTTCAGTTTTAGAAGATGTCCTTAACTTTATCTTCTAGAGCTTTTGTTTTTCTTTTTCTTTTTATTTATTAAAGTATTACATATGTGTCCTTACCTCCCTTTTGTTCCCCATTACCCCATTCATGTCCTCCCTGATGTCTGTCCATTGGTTAGGCTTATATGCATGAAAACAAGTCCTTTGGTTGATCTCTCCCCTTTACCTCCACCCTTCTCTACCTTCCCTCTGAGGTTTGACAGTCTGATCGATACTTCTCTGTCTCTGGTTCTATTTTTGTTCATCAGTTTGTGTTTTTCATTATATTCCACAAATGAGTGAGATCATGTGCTATTTATCTTTCTCTGACTGACTTATTTCGCTTAGCATAATGCTCTCCAGTTCCATCCATGCTGCTGCAAATTGTAAGAATTCCTTCTTTTTTTTTTACCATACCATAGTATTCCACTGTATAGATGTTCCACAGTTTTTTCATCCACTCATCTGCTGATGGGCACTTAGGCTGTTTCCAAATCTTAGCTATGGTGAATTGTGCTGCTATGAACATAGGGGTGCATATGTCCTTTCCTAATTGGTGTTTCCAGTTTCTTTGGATATATTCCTAGAAATGGGATGACTGGGTCAAATGGGAGTTCCATTTTTAGTTTTTTTTAGGAAACTCCATACTGTTCTCCACAGTGGCTGCACCAGTCTGCATTCCAACAGCAAGCACGAAGGTTCCTTTTTCTCCACATCCTGCCTGCATCTGTCATTTGTTGATTTGTTCATGATAGCCATTCTGTATATAAAACCAAAAATTGGAAATAAGAGCTAATCAGAATAGCTAGCTCTTCTTTTTAATTTTTGTTTCTACTGTTATATATTTATTTCCAAAATCTCTTTTTTGAAATAGGTATTTTTGTCCTATATATAGTTATACTCATTTCTTAGCTTCCAACTTTTAATGTTATTAATAGTTTTGTTTATTTTGGTCTCTCATGTGAGAGGTTTACCTAAGAATGCCTAGTGAATGTTGCTGTGCTCAGATTTAAGAATGAGACTTGAAATGATCAATTAGAAATTGTGCCCATAGGTGGAGCTTGTCAACTTTATTTCCTTGTAGAATAACCTCACTGGACAATCTATGTAGAAAACCACAATTGTCATTATCTTTGGGTCTTTCCTCTTTGGAGGTCAGATTCCCCAGATGAAAATGTTCCCTTTATAATTCTTTCTTTTCCAAATATCATAATATGTCTTCTCGACTCTGTCTTGGGTCCCCTCAGAGACCCTCTGTTTCATTGCCTGTAGAGACTAAACCAGCACATGGGGAAAGGACGGTCACCTGGTGACTTGATGTAGCAGACGGGAGGTGGAGGGCTCTAACTCTGAAACACTTCTAACTAAACCTCCTGTTTCTAGTCTCCCTTTCACCTTCTTCAAAGGTATTGTGACCCTTCTAGTTTTTCCCACACCTGTTCCTACTGCTGGGTGAAATATTCAGCTTTCTCCAGTCTAAGTAATTTGCACCTTTCTAGCTTTCAAATTTTGTTGTTCTCATTTCTACCCTAACCAAAATGACACACACACCCCAACTACTGTCACAACACCCTCTGTGCCCTCTTCACAACACTCATCTTAATCTATAATTACTTTATTAATTTATTTTTTTCTTTATTGCTGATCTCTGCCAGTTGATTCAGCTCTCTGAGGAAAGACCATGTTAAACTTGTTCTTACTCATTTTCATGCCAATCACAGCATCCTACTTATGGGAGGGCCTATAACACAAGGGCTTAATATGGCTCAAGGAGCCTGGGTTCAAATCCCAGCTTTGTCGTTTTTGGTTAATATGTAACCCTGAATGAAAAACCTTCCTATGGGGCATTTTCTTCATCAATAAGAGTAGTAATGATAATAAACCTCATTGCTAGCGTTTTGAGGATAATTTAATGAGATAGCACCAGTAATGAGATAATGTTTAGTACATGCCTGGCACTTAGTAAAGAACCAATAAATGCTAAGTGGCACAGGATAAAAATAATGACTGAGCAAGTACCCTTTTTTTGTTTGAAAATAGGGCCATAATATAGATATTGTATACTTAGATAAGTTTGAAGTATGTATTTCTGTCCCTTTTTATTCAATTAATAAGAATTAATAAGTCTTATGTTACTTTTTTCCCAACAGGATATCCATCACAAGGGTCACTGCTGACATCTCGCTGGCCAAACGCTCAGTGTTAAATAACCCCAGTAAGCACGCAATAATAGAAAGGTCCAATACAAGGTCAAGCTTAGGTAAGTGTGCGCTGCTTATGAACTTAAGCTATTTCAACACTTCTCCCTGAGGCTGCCAACGAGATCTAACAAGATGGTAATTCCATGTGTCATAGAGCTGAGAAGAAAGAGACATGTGCTGCCAGGAGCTAGTGCTGCGGTCACAGTGATTTCATGGCATGAGGCATTTGTTATGATAGTTGTGAGTTAAAAATTCCACAGTCTGTCAGCACGAATGTTTTGGTTGTGGTTGTTTTTACTTCTGTGAGCTTCAGTATCTACAGATTCAAAAAAATTCCTGGCTTTGCATGATAGGGTTTAGCTGGGGAAAAAAGGGAGAAGGATGAAAAGAGATTTTAAACAATAGGCTTCTGTTGTTTAAACATAGATATTTTACCTTGGTTAAGTGGATGGTTTTTAAAAGAGAGAGATGGGTTAGGTAGCTCAGTAAGTAAGAGCATCATACCAATATGCCGTTGCGAGTTCTGGTCAAGGCACATACAAAAGTCAACCAATTAATGTATTAATAAGATCAATAAGTGGAATAACAAATTGACCTCTTTCTCTTCTTTACCTTTTCTCCCCCTTTTTCTTTCCACCCTAAAATCAATAAAATTTTTTAAATGTTTTTTTAAATCTCTATACATAAAAGCCTAAGCAACCAAAATGACCAGAATGACCAGTTGCTATGATGCACACTGACCACCAGGGGGAAGACACTCAATGCAAGAGCATTTTATTTTGATGTAGTCCCACTTATTTATTTTCTCTTTAGCTTCCATGGCCCTAAGGGCAGTATCAGTGAAGAAGTTCTTTTGGCATATCTCTGAGATTTTGCTGCCTGTGGATTCCTCTAGTATTTTTATGGTTTCCCATCTTATATTTAAGTCCTGTATCCATTTTGAGTTTATTTTTGTGTATGTTGTAAGTTGGTGATCTAGTTTATTTATTTATTTTGCATGTATCTGCCAAGTTTTACCAACACCATTTATTGAAGAGACTGTCTTCATTGTATGTCCTTGCCTCCTTTGTCAAATATTAATTGAGCATAGTGGTTTGGATCAATATCTAGATTCTCTATTCTGTTCCATTGATCTATATGTCTTTTCTTTTGACAATAACAGGCAGTTTTGAGAACAGTGGCTTTGTACTACAGCTTGAAATCTGGTATTGAGGTCCCTCCTAATTTATTCTTCTTTCTTAAGATTACTGTGGCTTTTTGGGGTCGTTTTATAATTCCAAATGAATTTTTGGAGAGTTCTTTCTAGGTCTGTGAAATATGTCATTGGTATTTTAATGGGGAGTGCATTGAATCTATAGATTGCTTTGGATAGTATGGACATTTTAATGATGTTGATCCTACCAACCCAAGAACATGGTAGGTTCTTCTATCTGTTTATGTCTTCCTCTATTTCTTTTCTCAGTGTCCTGTAGTTTTTCCTGTATAGGTCTTTAGATATCTTAAGTTTTTGGTGCCATGGTAAATGGGATTGTTTTTTTAGTCTATCTTTCTGTAAGTTTATTATTGGTGTATAGAAATGCCATAGATTTGTTGGCGTTAATTTTGTATCCAGCTACATTGCTGAATTCATGTATTAAGTCTATTAGTTTTTTGGTGGAGTGTTTTGAGTTTTTTATGTACAATATCATGTCATCTGCAAATAAGGACAGCTTTATTTCTTTTCCAATTTGGATGTCTTTTATTTCTTCTTCTTATCTAATTGCAATGGCTAATAGTTCCAGTACTGTGTAAAGCAGGAGTGATGAGGGTAGGTATCCCTGTCTTGTTCCTGTTCTTAGGGGAAATGGTTTTAATTTTTGCCCATTGAGTATGTTGGCTGTTGCTTTATCATATATAGCTTTTATTATGTTGAGGTATGATCCTTCTATTACCACTTGTTGAGAATTTTTATCAAGAAAGTGTGTTGGATTTTGTCAAATGCTTTTTCTGCATCAATTGACATGACTATGTGACTTGTTTCTCTCAATTTGTTTATGTGATGTATCATGTTTATTGATTTGTGGAAATTGTACCATCCTTGCATTCCTGGGATAAATCCTACTTGGTCATGGTGTATGATCTATCTGATGTACTGCTGAAGCTGATTTGCTAGAATTTCGTTGAGAATTTTGGCATCTATGTTCATGAGGGATATTGGCCTGTAATTCTCTTTCATTGAGTTGTCTTTATCTGGTTTTGGTATTAGGGTGATGCTGGCTTCATAGAAGGAGTTTGGAAGTGTTCCTTCCTCTTGAATTTTTTGGAACAGTCTGAGGAATTTAGGTTTTAGTTCTTCCTTGAATGTTTGGTAAAACTCTCCTGTGAGGCCGTCTGGCCCCAGGCTTTTGATGACTGCTTCAATTTCTTCCATAGTTACTGGACTATTGAGCTGTTTAGATTGTTTCTTATTGAGTTTTGGAAGGTTATATTTTTCCAGGAATATATCCATTTTCTCCAGGTTGTCCAGTTTGTTGGAATAGAATTGTATTATTATTTTTTTTAACAATCTTTTATATTTCAGCGGGGTCTGATATTTCACCTCTTTCATTTCTGATTTTCTTTATTTGGGTCCCCTCTCTTTGCTTCTTGGTGAGTCTGGCTAGAGGTTCATCAATCTTGTTTTTCCTTTCAAAGAACCAGCTCTTGGTTTTGTTGATCGTTTTTTATTGTTTCTTTGATCTCTATGTCATTTATCTCCACTCTTATCTTTATTATTTCCTTCTTTCTGCTTACACTGGGCTTTTCTTTAGACATCTCCCCTATTAGAAGCCCGTTCCACAATAAGGGGACACACCAGCCCAAGAGCCAGGGGCTTCTCCTTATAAACACCGCCCCGGTCCTCCAGCTTCTGAATTTCTTCATGGGGGCTCATCCTATCCCTGCAAAATCTGATATTTTTGCTGTGCGGTGGTGCGCTCCTTTGAGTCCAAGTGTTCGCACTGCCTGGAACTCAGTGTCGCTGCAGCTGTGGATATTCAGGCCTCTGACAAGATCCACTTTTCCTTTAAAGATGGTGAGATTTCCCCGTCCAAGCCCATAGGTAGCTCCGGGAGGGGACCCAGCCGCAGTGGGGGCTGCCAGGTCAGGGGAACCCTGTCTAGTAGTCTCCCACCTTCTGCTGGAGTTTAGCTATCCTGTAGCTTGCTAACAAACACTCTCCGTGCGACTCTCAGCTGTTCTTTCTTTCTTTCTGCTCCAGGACAATGCTGGGAACATGTCTGTCTATTCTGCTGCCATTTTCTATACCTCTACCTAAAAAAATCCATATATTAATATCTTGGTATATAAATAAAATTTATGAACATATAAGAAAATGAATTATTTTGTTTTATCAGTTATCTGGATTTTGTTTAATGAACACTACTACATTTATAATCAATACAAAAAATAATTGTGCTCAAACCACTGAACCAATGAAGTTATTATTTTTTAAATTGATTTCAGAGAGAAAGGGAGAGATAGAGAGAGATAGAAACATCAGTGATGAGAGAGAATCATAGATCAGCTGTCTCCTGCACATCCCTTACTGGGGATCTAGCCCGCAACCCAGGCATGTGCCTTCACCAGGAATCAAACCCTGATCTCCTGGTTCAGAGGTCGGACATGAAGTTATACTTAAAGTGTGAAATTCTGTGACTGTGTGAATAAGTTGTCAATAACTAAACACATAATGAAAATCTTTGTGACCAAAATATTTTTATTATAATACTGATGATATATAACATTATATTACTTTCATGTTTTCAAGATAAAGATTATATGTTGTGAAATGATCATGGTAAGAAGTCCAGTTACCATACATCACCATACATTGTTATACATTTTTTTTTGTGATAAGAACTTTTAAGATCTACTCACTTAGGAACTTTCAAATATACATACAGTATCATTAACTATAGTCACCATGGTATACATCACATCCATAGGTTTCTTTCTTTTATAACTCGAAATTTGTGGCTTTCGACCTCCTTTACCTATTTTGCTCACCTCCCACCCCATACCTCTGGCAACCATCAATCCAGTCTCTGTATCTATGAATTTAGTGTTTTGGGTTTTTAATTTTATTATTTTGAGTTCCACATCTAGGGGAGATTTATCACATATATAGTATTTGTTTTTCTCTGTCTGACTTATTTCACTAAGCACAATGCCTTTAAAGTCTATCCATATTACAAATGGCAAGAGTTCACTCATTGTTATGGCAAAATAAGATTAAATATAAAATATACACATATATAATATCACATTTTCTTTACCCATTTCTCCATCAATGTACCCTTAGGTTATTTCCATGTCTTGGCTGCAATGAACATGGTTAAGTTAGTGTTTTCCTTTCTCTCAAATACCCATAAGTAAAATTGAAGGATCATATGATAGTTCTATTTTTAATTTTTCGAGGAACCTCCTTACTGTTTTCTGTAGTGGCTGCACCAATTTACATTCTCATCAACAGTGTACAAGGGTTTCCTTTTCTTTACATCCTTGCCAACACTTGTTGACTTTATTTATTTGTAATATGTTTTATTGATTTCAGAAAGGAAATGAGAGGGAGAGAAACATCAAGATGAGAGTGAATCATTGATCGGATGCTTCTTGCACGCCCTACACTGGGGATTGAGCCCGCAACCCAGATATATCCCCTGACCAAGAATCTAATAAACTAACCATGACTTCCTGGTTCATAGGTCAATGCTCAACCACTGCACCATGCCAGCCAAGTGATTTTTATTTTTTTAATCCCTACCCAACATTTTTGTTTTAATTGATTTTTAGAAAGAGAGGATGGTAGAGGGAGAGGAAGAGAAAGAAACATCGATGTGAGAAACATCTATCAGTTGCTTCTGGTATATGCTCTGATTGGGAATTGAACCTATAACCAGGGTATGTGCCCTGACCAGGATTCAAACCTGAGATCCTTCAGTGCACAGGATGACACTCCAACCAAATGAGCTATACCAGCCAGGGCAACACATGTTAACAATTTTGTAATAGTCAATCAGATATGTATGATGTAATAACT